GAGGAGAAAGCAAAAATAAATTAAAAAAAAGGTTATATAATTACAGAAAGTAATGATAAAAAGAGAGGGGGTTGAGGTGTATCATCAGGTGCAGGAACGAACAAATCAACGAGTGGAAAGCGAGAAAGCACGCAAATGTATGAAACTATGAACAATAAATAGATGAATTAATCCGTAAATTATTTAAATTAATTAATTTAATTAATTTAATTAATTAAATAAATATTTCAATATATATAAACAACCAAAGAACAACACCTGAGCAGGATCTTCGGGGTCACATCCCTCCATAGCCAGCTGGCCTCCCTTCACTGTAAGGCATTCTTTTACAAGTCTATTCTTCAGCAGGCCGTGTTCATAATCCCACCTAAAAAACAAATAAATAAATAAAATAAATAAATAAAATAAATAAATAAAATAAATAAATAAATAAATAGAAAATAAATGAATAATTAAATTGATAAATAAACAAACAAATATTCATTTTTTTTTAAGAGTTTCTATTACATAGAGTGTATTGATTGATTCTGTGCAGAGTTTAACGAATATATTATTAATTTTCTATCAACTCTGTTTTAATTAAACAAATAAATTATATTTTATTTAAAATATTTAATTTATTTAATTTGTTTTGTCTTTAATTACCACATAGGCTGCGTCGCCCTACACCAATCCCAATCCCCCCGAGGGGTTAAGCACGCCTCGTCGTTATGTACAGGCATTACATGTCCTATCTTCCTGCATGCATACAAATAAAATAAATATAAACAGCTGCTGCTGCTGCTGCTGCTGCTGCTGTTGCTGCTGCAACACAAATACATTTAAATATAATTAGTATACACGAATGCTCCTGCTGCTGCTGAATACAAGTCAACACAAATCACTGCTGCAGCTACCGTAGCCACAAATAAAGAAAAAAAAAGGAGACGCAGCGAGGCCATCTGTCTCTTTCTTTCTCTTTTTTTCTTATTTTTTAAACTAAACACAAAAAAAAAACAGAAACTTTATTCACCTGAAATACATAAACTCCTGCGTC